TTGTCCTGTCTTTTCTTGTGCCAATACCAGGCTGTATTTAGTACTATAAATTTGTAGTAGAGTCTAAAGTCAAGGATTGTGATGCCTCCAGAAGTTCTTTTATTATACAGGATTGTTTCAGCTATCCTGGGTTTTTTGCTTTTCCATATGAAGTTGAGTACTGTTCTTTCAAGTTCTGTGAAGACATTTGCTGGTATTTTGATGGTCATTACATTGAATCTATAGATTGTTTTTAGTAAGATTGCCATTTTTACTGTGTTAATTCTGCCTACTCAAGAGGATGGGAGATCTTTCTACTTTCTGGTGTTTTCTTCAATTTCTTTCTTCAAAGATTTAAAGTTCTTGTCATACAAGTCTTTGACTTGTTTGGTTAGAGTTACTCTGAGGTATTTTATGCTATTTGTGGCTATTGTGAAAGGTGTTGATTCTCTGATTTCTTTCTCAGCCCTTTTGTCATCTGTGTAGAGGAGGGCTACTAATTCTTTTGATTTAATCTTGTACCCTGCTACAATACTGAAAGTGTTTATGAGTTGTAGATGTTTTTTGGTAGAATTTTTGGGATCACTTATGTAAACTATCATATCATCAGCAAACAGTTAGATTTTGACCATCTCTTTTCTGATTTGTATCCCCTTGATCTTTATCAATTTCCACTTTAAGAGTTTCAAATATTCTCCTCAAGTAATGTTTTTATGTCATTTTCTTCTCCTTTATCTATATTTGGTTGTTCAAGTCTTGCTGTTGTAGGATTATATTTAGGTTTTATTGGTGTCATGTTGCTCTTTGTGGTATTTTTTGTGTTTTTACCTCTTCTACTCATCTTTTCCTCTAATAAGTGTGGTTTGTGCTGTCTGTGATTCTGTTGTTTAATCTTCAAGGTGTCAGTGAGTCCAAGGCTCAGACGGTTGTTTCTCATGATACAGTCATTGCCACAGTTCTAATCACCCCTTTGGTCACTTAGTATTCTTGGATGTCGCTCAGTGCTCCCAACCTGTGCTCCACTCTCTTCGAGTTGCTGTTCCAGGCCTATTCTAGCCTAAGTTGTTAGCTCAGACACGTTTCTGTAAGTATCCCTGGTCTGAGTCCATTCCTGCAGTGGTCCCTGGCTTGGGGTTGGTCCTGTAAAGGACTTTTGCTCGGGCCTACTCTCTTTGAGTTCCCAGCCTAAGGTGCTCCCAGACCTGCAGAGGATCTGGCTCAGGCTTATTTCCTCAGAGGGCCCAGACTCAAGCTCTGAACAGCAGAGGTTCCTAGTTCCTGCCTATTCCCTTTGATGTCCCAGACCTATATACCTGGATCCACAGAGGTCTTTGTTCAACACTACTTCCTTTGAGGTTCCAGACTCATGACTGGACCCACAGAGATCTCTTGTTCCTGCCTACTCCCTCAGAGGTCCCAGATTCATGCCCAGACTCGCAGAGGTTCTAGCTCAGGTCTAATTTCTTGGAGGTCCTAGACTGGTGCCCAGACCCACAGGGGTCCTGGCTGAGGTCTACTCCCTTGAATGTCTCAGATTCACATCTGGACCCTCAGTGGTCTCTGGCTTTGGCTCACTTGCTCAGCAGTTGCTTCCCTTTCCTGTTCCTGTGGAGTTTGCTGTCTCAGGTCTGCTCTGGTCCAGGTTGCTGGCTCAGTCCTGGTCTGCCAAAGTCCCAGGACTGGATCAACTCCTGCTCTCATGGAACCTACTTTCTCAGGCCAACTCTGGACGTTTGAATTATGCTAAGAGATAAAATATTTGGTGTTTATTTGTTGTTTATTTGTTTATTTACTTATAGCCGACGACTGAGTCAGGAGAGGCTGTGACATTGTGTATTCTCAATGTACCATAAGATTATATTGAATTATAGATGGACAGATGGAGGGATGGGACACACACACACAGACACATGAATGGATGCACACAAACAGACAGTCAGACAGACACACAGACACAGGACACAGACAGAGAGGGGAGTGGTAAGAGTGGATGGGGATGAATATTAATAAAAGAACAAATTTTTGATGGGTAAAGCTACATACTCAGCATTTCCTCATGTGCAGCAGCAGGATAGTTGTAAATTATTGAGTTTCATATACAACATTTACTGCTTTGCTTTCAGCTAACTAGTCCACCTCATTCACTCATTAAGGCAAAACTGATGGGTTTTCATGCTTTTTTAGTACCATCCTATCAGGTGTCCTGACTTCATCCCTGTCATTTTGTAGGTCATTTTACCCATCCTGAAACATAGTATTTTTAATTTGTATGTGTGCATGTGTGTGTGTTCTTAATTTCCCAAGAATATTTTCAAGAGTTTCCCCCTTGGTCTTTCAAGTAAGGTCCCATCCACCTTGACTTAGTGGCATTGAAACGTTTGTACCTATAACTATTTGGTTTGATGATCTGAACATGGAAGGACATAAAGGAACATTATTCTTTGCCTAACACATCTATTAAAATTCCTATAAATACTATATTTATCTCTCCTTGTGGTAGATATTTTGTCCAATATGATAGTTATGATGGATCCATTTACTGTTAATACATACTTTCCTTATCTAGAAATTAGGAGTTCAGTAAATCTAAAGCCAGAACTTTCATTTTTAGAGTCAAGTCATAACTTGTTCTGATGATTGGATCTGGTTTAAGAACTACTATCTCTCTGACTTAATTATTCTCCTCTAGCTTTATTTTATTGATTAATTGATTGAATGATTGATTGACTTTTTGAGACAGGGCTTCTCTGTGTAGCTTTGGGGCCTGTCCTGGAACTAGCTCTTGTAGACCAGATTGGCCTTGAACTCACAAAGATCCTCCTGCCCCTGCCTCCCGAGTGCTGGGATTAAAGTGCACCACCACCGCCTGACTCTTCCCTTGCTTTACTATGCTGTACCTGGTTATTGTAGGATGGAGGTGAGAAAGAGGGGCAGAAAGGTGTGTCCTAGGCTGGAATAGTGATGCAATTAGGTGCTGTTGCCTTATAAGTTTAACAAGGTCTACATGTTGGATTTTTCTTAAAACACACACACTCACACACACATGCACACATACATGCACACACACATGCACACACACAAAACACATGTACACACACACACACACACACACACACACACACACTTGAGGCAGGTTCCTCAGACAGGGAAAGTGCTTCATTGACTGGGCACTAATTGCTCCTTTCATTGTTCTTCCCTGATGACCTACTCTGCATAGATGTTCTTTTGGGATTGCTATAGTTCTCCAAGTAATGCTTCTGGGTAGAATCCCTTTTAAGAATGTCAGGATGAGTACCTTTCACAGAGTGTAAATTAGGTCAAATAAGGGTACTTTATATGTTGTGGAAATGTGGTTAATCCTTTCTTGCTTTGTTTTTAGAGCCAGGTCATCTTTTCCTCCACTCCCAATGAGCCATGGGCAGCAGGGCTGTCCCTCAAACCATGGAGAACAAGGTTAAGTCACACGAATAGTTATACTAGTGTTCAAACTACAGAGACTATGGGGGTGGGGGCAGCTTCACTTAAACCACCACAGGGGTTCCTTGGATGTACTCTTCTTTCAGTAGGGAATCATCCTTTGTTCATTAAAGTAACCTTATTTATGGTTTCAGTCTAGCTATTGCTTCATCTTTCTGTTGATTAGGATGATGAACCAATACATATGAAATTATAGTTAAAATCTTTTTTTTTGACAGGGTTTCTTTGTGTAACAGCTCTGACTGTCCCGGAACTTGCTTTATAGACCAGGCGGGCCTCAAAGTCACAGGGATCTGTCTGTCTCTGCCTCCTAAGAACTGGGATTAAAGGTGCACACCACTCACTCCCTGGCTTATTCAAAATCTTTAAGGAATCCAAGAATGTTTGTCTCAGTTAAGGTTACTTTTGCTGCAATGAATACTGTGACCAAAAGTAAACTGGGGAGGAAAGGGTTTATTTGGCTTATATTTGCACATTCAGTTCATCACTGAAGGAAGTAAGGACAGAAACTCAAACAGGGCAGGATCCTTGAAGCACGATTCTCTATGGCACAGGCCATAGAGGGGGTAATGCTTACTGGCCTCTTCCTCATGACTTGCTCGGTCTGCTTTTTATAGTACCTAGGACCACCAGCCCAGGGATAGCACCATCCTGAGCCCTCCCCCATCAATCACTAATGATGAAAATGCCCCCACACCTGGCACTTACAGAGGTAATTTCTGAATTGAGGTTCTCTTCTTTTAAATGACTAACTTTTGTCATTGACATAAAATGAGTCAGTTCAATTGACCTATTGCTAATTTGACACACAAACATATCACTTTTAAGTCATAACCTTTCCTTTCTTGTTCATCCCGAAGATCACAACTAATATCAATATCACAATATAAAACATTTTACACACTATAAAAGTCCCACAGTCTTTACAAATTCAAACAATTTAAAATTCAGTCTCTTTAATCATCCAAAATCCCTTTTAAAATCTTAAAAAAATCAGTCTCTCAACTGTGGGATCCCATAAAATAAAAATAAGTGAATACTTTCTTCCTTCAAGAGGGAAGAACCAGGGCACAATCACAACCTGGACAAAGCAAAACCAAACTGCAACAGTGTAAATCACTCAATGTGAAAAGTCTGGGATCTACTCATGATCTTCTGGGCTCCTCCAAAGTGCTCAGGCCACTTCTCTGACTCCATCCTTTGTATCACATATTGTTTTATCCTTTAGACTCGGGCTGGTTCCACTCTGCAGCTGCTGAGCTATTTCCCCAGCCTTGGCATTTTTTGTTGTTCTTTTGACACATGGTTTTATTATCTGTTTCCAGCTGGCCTTGAACACCCTAGAGGGAGTTCTACCTCCCTCTGCCTCTCAAGCACTGAGATTAAAGATATGCATGACTATATACTGTCCAGTTTAAAGAAAAAAAGATTCATTTTTATTTTTATTTATGCATATGTATGTTTGTTTGTGTGAGGGTGTGTCACATATGTGAAGGTTCACTGGGAAACATTGGGTTTCTCACAGTTTGGTATGGAAACCACATTTAAGAGTTTTGCATAACCCTCTTTCCACAGAAGACACGACGGAGAGCATACTTCATGTCCTTGTTACGGAGGCTATAGATGAAAGGGTTTAAAGCTGGTGTCACCACAGAATATATCAGTGTAATAATTTTATGCATAGCAACTGAGCTGCCAGATGTGGGACTCACATACATCACCATTATGGTTCCATAGAACAGAGACACTACCAGCAGGTGGGATCCACAGGTCGAGAAGGCCTTTTGTCGTCCTTCTGAAGAGGGAACCTGAAGAACAGCTCTGAGCACCAGGGTATAGGATCCAAGGATGTACAAACTTGTGAGGACAATGAAAAGAGTACTTATAGAATAGAATACGTGCCTTATGACTGGTGTGGCTGTACAGGTCAGAGCCATCAGTGGGTCCACATCACACAGAAAATGATCAATGATATTGGGACCACAGAAGGACAACTGAGAAATGAAAGAAATGGGAATCAAATGCCCACAGAAACCAAAGATCCAACAGAGAGAAACCAGGGTACTGCAAAATTTCCTAGTCATGATGCAAGGATAATGCAGTGGGTAGCAGATGGCTAGATACCGATCGTACGCCATGGCACAGAGGAAGAAACATTCTGTTGTGCCCAGGGAAAAGAAGAAGTAGAACTGAGTAAAGCAGCCAGAGAAGGACATAATCTTAGTTTTGGAAAGAAAGTTGACCAGCATGTTGGGGACTGTGCAGTTCACGTACCAGATTTCTAGGAAGGAGAAGTTGGCCAGGAACATATACATAGGGGTGTGGAGTTGGTGGTTCCACCTCACTGCACAAATGATGGCCATATTCCCGGTCAAGGTTATCATGTAGACCAGCAGGATCAGTGAGAAAAGTGTGATTTGAATCTTCCAGGGACCAGGAAAGCCCAGCAAGACAAAATATGTCACTGTGGATGCCTGTGACTGATTCATGAGCAGCAGCCTGTGGGGAGAAGATAGATAATGAGGAGTTTCTTTGTTAGTGAGACATCTTGAAGCTTTTCTGGGACTAAGGGTTTGACTCATGAAGGCAAATATATTGGATAGTTAAAAATAAACCTTGAACTTATCTATCCTATTTCTGAGTGTATCCTTCACCTTCCAAGATGAAATCTAAGCTTTGTGAGTTTTCTGTGGCAGTAGAGTAAGATCAACTAAATTTAATCTTTGTTAGTTTAGTGATATATCACATTCTTAGCAAACACCCTGGGATTGATCCCAGTACAAGAGAAACATGTACAAATGATCAAATAAGAATATTTAAGCAATGGTAAAAATGTTTGATTTATGCTGGCTTGGTTCCCACTGAACACTGTTCAGAGGCAACCAAAGTGCCATCGCCTCCCAATGTGAGGACTGCACGCCATTGCTGTCAATAGAGTGGAATTATTTGAAGGCTTCATAAGGCTGTTATTGTCAGTAGAGTTTGTATCATTTGAAGGCTTCATAACGACACTATTCAGTATTTTTGAATCTTCCATAGCAGACTTCATTTTTGAGTATGTTAAATAGTAACAGGAGAAAGAAGTCAATAATCATAAATAATTTTTATGCAGTTTGCTTTTTCTATTAAAAGATATTTGTATTATAATAGCTAATTTACAATTTTATAAGTAATTCTTTGTTTTTAGCAATTTAAATCCTATTATTATTCAATTCTATTCCACATGGCAATTTATCATGCTTCTTATACATTTGAAAGTATTGTATTGCTGGGTAGTGGTGGCACACACCTTTTATCTCAACACTCAGGGATGCGGAGGTGGGTGTATTTCTGTGAGTTTGAGGCCAGCCTGATCTACAGAATGAGTTCCAGGACAGCTAAAGCTACACAGAGAATTCTTGTTTAAAAAAAAAACACTAGATAACATCACCCAGCTCAGCCTGTCTGGGCGCTGGGTCCGAATCCTCAGGGCAACCAGGCGGGCGGGAGTTCCTTTGTTTCAAAAGCCTGCCTGCACCAAGCAAGGTAGGTGCTTTGTTTATGAGCTATCCAACCAGCACGGAGACCCGATCTTGGTGCCAGAAGAGCCAGCATTGGGGAGAGCCATCATTGGGCATGGAGATCTGATCTCGGCACCAGGAGAGCCATCACTGGGAAGGTACATCATAGGCAAGGAGATGAGATTCTGTAAAAGAAGATCCATAGGGGAGCATTCGGAGGAAGAGATGGGCAGGCGCCAATGCAAGAATTCACCCAACAATGTGAAAAGCAACATGAAACCACCAGAACCCACCGATCCCACAACAGGAGGACATGAACACATTAATCAAGAAGAAATAGAAAGAATTGACTTTATGAAAGTAATTGATGCCCTTAAACAGCATGTAAAGAACGCCCTTATAGAAATGGATGAGAAATATAACAGAAAGTTTGAAAAATTGAATAAATCAGTGAATGCTATCCTAGAAAACCAAGGAAAAACTATCAAACAGATAATGGAAACAGTTCAAGACTTAAAAACTGAAATGGAGGCAAAGAAGAAAACACAAACAGAGGGCCGGCTGGACATGGAAAATTTAAATAAACAACAAAGACTACAGAAACAAACATAACCAACAGAATACAAGAGATAGAAGAAAGAATCTCAGATTCTGAAGATACCATAGAGAAAATAAACACACTGATCAACGAAAACAGCAAGTCCAACAAATTCTCATCACAAAACATTCAGGATATATGGGACACAATAAAAATACCAAACCTAAGAATAATAGGAGTAGAAGAAGGAGAAGAAGTGCAGCTTAACGGTCCAGACAATATATTTAATAAAATTATAGAAGAAACTTTCCCAACCTCAAGAAAGATATATCTATGAAGGTTCAAGTAGCATATAGAACACCAAATAGGCTGGATAAAAAAAAAATCCCCACGCCATATAATAATCAAAACACAAAACATACAGAATAAAGAAAGAATATTAAGAGCTGCAAATGAAAAAGGCCAAGGTAAACCTATCAGACTTACACCTGACGTCTCCATGGAAACCATGAAAGCCAGAAGGTCCTGGATAGATGTACTGCAAAAACTAAGAGACCATGGATGCAAGCCCAGACTACTATATCCAGGCAAGCTTTCATTCACTATAAATGGAGAAAAAATTTTTCCAGGATAAAAACAAATTTAACCAATATGTAGCCACAAATCCAGCATACAGAAAGTAATAGAAGGAAAATCACTAACCAAGGAGTCCAACAATGCCCACAATAACTCAGACATCTAGAGACCCTTCACCAACACAACTCAAAGGAGGGAAACACACAAATTCTATGACTAAAAAAATGACCGGAGTTAACAACCACTGGTCATTAATATCACTTAATATTAATGGACTCAACTCACCTATAAAGAGGCACAGGCTAAGAGATTGGATACGAAAACAAGATCCAACATTCTGCTGTTTACAAGAAACATACCTCAACCACAAAGACAGGCACCTACTCAGAGTAAAGGGCTGGGAAAAGGCTTATCAAGCAAATGGACCTAAGAAACAAGCAGGTGTGGCCATACTAATCTCTAACAAAGTTGACTTCAAACTTAAATCAATCAGAAGAGATGGAGAGGGGTATTTTATACTCATAACAGGAACAGTTCATCAGGATGATGTCTCAATCCTGAATATCTATGCCTCTAATATAAAAGCACCTATGTACGTAAGAGAAACATTACTAAAACTCAAGGCAGTCATCAAACCACACACGCTAGTAGTAGGAGACTTCAACACTCCTCTCTCACCAATGAAGAGGTCAATCAGACAGAAACCTAACAGAGAAATAAGAGAATTAATGGAGTTAATGAATCAAATGGACTTAACAGACATCTATAGAACATTCCACCCAAAGAGGAAAGAATATACCTTCTTCTCTGCAGCTCATGGAACCTTCTCGAAAATTGACCACATAGTTGGTAACAAAGCAAACATCCAGAGTTACAAAAAAATATTAGTAACCACCTGTGTCTTATCAGAACACCATGTATTAAAGTTAGAATTCAACAAAAATGCTAACCCCAGAAAGTCTACAAATTCATGGAAACTGAACAGTCAACTACTGAACCATACCTGGATTAAGGAAGAAATAAAGAAAGAAATTAAAGTCTTCCTGGAATTCAACAAAAATAAAGAAACAACATTCTCAAACTTATGGGACACTATGAAAGCAGTGCTAAGAGTAAAGTTCATAGCACTAAGTGCCCACTTAAAGAAAATAGAGAAAGCACACATTGGAGACTTAACAGCCCACCTGAAAGCTCTAGAAAAAAAAGAAGCAGACTCACCCAGGAGGAGTAGAAGACTGGAAATAATCAAACGAGGGCTGAAATCAACAAAATAGAAACACAGAAAACAATCCAAAGAATCAATGAAACAGAAAGCTGGTTTCTGGAGAAAATCAACAGATTGATAAACCCCTATCCAAACTAATCAAACGACAGTGAGAGAATTTGCAAATTAATAAGATCAGAAATGAAAAGGGGGACATAACCACAGACACAGAGGAAATTCAGAGAATCATTAGATATTACTACAAAAGCCTGTATGCCACAAAACTGGAAAATGTAAAAGAAATGGACACTTTTTTAGATAAATACCATATACCAAAGTTAAACCAGGACCAGGTGAACTATCTAAATAGACCTGTTAGTCGTGAAGAATTAGAAGCGGTTATCAAAAACCTCCCTACCAAAAAAAAGCCCAGGACCAGATGGTTTCAATGCGGAATTCTACCAGAACTTCCAAGAAGAACTAATACCAATACTTCTTAATGTATTTCACATTATAGAAACAGAAGAGTCATTGCCAAATTCCTTTTATGAAGCTACAGTTACTCTGATACCAAAACCACACAAAGACTCAACCAAGAAAAAGAATTATAGGCCAATCTCTCTCATGAACATTGATGCAAAAATTCTCAACAAAATACTGGCAATCCGAGTTCAAGAACACATTAGAGAAATTATCCATTATGATCATGTAGGGTTCATCCCTGAGATGCAGGACTGGTTCAACATATGAAAATCTATCAATGTAATCCATCATATAAATAAACTGAAAGAAAAAAACCATATGATCGTTTCATTAGATGCTGAAAAAGCATTTGACAAAATTCAACATATCTTTATGAAAAAAGTATTGGAGAGATTAGGGATACAAGAGTCATACCTAAATATAATTAAAGCTATTTACAGCAAGACGACAGCTAACATCAAATTAAACAGAGAGAAACTCAAAGCAATCCCACTAAAATCAGGAACACGACAAGGCTGTCCACTCTCTCCATACCTCTTCAATATAGTGCTTGAAGTTTTAGCAATAGCAATAAGACAGCATAAGGGGATCAAGGGGATTCGAATCGGAAAGGAAGAAGTTAAACTTTCGTTATTTGCAGATGATATGATAGTGTACATAAGTGACCCCAAAAACTCTACCAAAGAACTCCTACAGCTGATAAACACCTTTAGTAATGTGGCAGGATACAAGATCAACTCAAAAAAATCAGTCGCCCTCTTATACACAAATGATATGGAAGCAGAGAGGGAAATAAGAGAATCATCACCTTTCATGATAGCCACAAACAGCATAAAATATCTTGGGGTAACTCTAACCAAGGATGTGAAATATCTATTTGACAAGAACTTTAAGGCATTGAAAAAAGAAATTGAAGAGGATACCAGAAAATGGAAGGATCTTCCTTGCTCTTGAATTGGGAGGATCAACATAGTAAAAATGGCAATTCTACCAAGGGCAATTTATAGATTCAATGAAATCCCCATTAAAATCCCATCAAAATTCTTCACAGATCTTGAGAGGACAATAATCAACTTAATATGGAAAAACAAAAAATCCAGGATAGCCAAACAATCCTATACAATAAAGGATCTTCTGGAGGCATTACCATCCCTGACTTCAAACTCTATTACAGAGCTACAGTAATGAAAACAGCGTGGTACTATAAAAACTGAGAAGTCGACCAATGGAATGGTATAGAAGACCCGGTTTTTAGCCCACAAACCTATGAACACTTCATTTTTGATAAAGAAGCTAAAAGTATACAATGGAAGAAAGAAAGCATCTTCAACAAATGGTGCTGGCACAACTGTATGTCAACCTGTAGAAGAATGAAAATAGAGCCATATCTATCACCAAGGACAAAACTCAAGTCCAAATGGATCAAAGACTTCAATATCAATCTGAACACACTGAACCTGATATAAGCGAAAGTGGGAAGTACCCTACAACAGATGGGTACAGGAGATCGCTTCCTATGTATAACCCCAGCAGCACAGACATTAAGGGCAACATTGAATAAATGGGACCTACTTAAACTAAGAAGCTTCTGTAAAGCAAAGGACACTGTCACTAAGACAAAAAGGCAACCTACTGACTGGGAGAAGATCTTCACCAACCCCGCAATAGACAAAGGTCTGATCTCCAAAATATATAAAGAACTCAAGAAACTAGACTTTAAAATGCTAATTAACCCAGTTAAAAAATGGGGCACTGAACTGAACAGAGAATTCTTAATAGAAAAAGTTCAAATGGCCAAAAGATACTTAAGGTCATGCTCAACCTCCTTAGCAATCAGGGAAATGCAAATCAAAACAACTTTGAGATATCATCTTACACCTGTCAGAATGGTTAAAATCAAAAACACCAATGATAGCCTTTCCTGGAGAGGTTGTGGAGAAAGGGGAATTCCCATTGCTGGTGGGAATGCAAACTTGTACAAACACTTTGGAAATCAGTGTTTTGGTTTCTCAGGAAATTTGGGATCAACCTACCCCTGGACCCAGCATTACCACTCTTGGGAATATACCCAAGAGATGCCCTATCATATGACAAAAGCATTTGTTCAACTATGTTCATAGCAACATTATTTGTAATAGCCAGAACCTGGAAACAACCTAGATGCCCTTCAATGGAAGAATGGATGAAGAAAGTGTAGAATATATACACATTAGAATACTACTCTGCCATAAAAAACAATGACTTCTCGAATTTTGCATGCAAATGGATGGAAATAGAAAACACTATCCTGAGTGAGGTATCCCAGTCCCAAAAAAGAGGATCATGGGATGTACTCACTCATAATTGGTTTCTAGCCATAAATAAAGGTCACTGAGTCTACAATTTGTGATCCAAAAGAAGCTAAATAAGAAGATGAACCCAAAGAAAAACATATAGTTATTATCCCTGCTATGGGAAATAGACAC